GTGATCTTTCAATATATTCACACAATTTATGGCTATTTTCGCTCTACTTATCTTATGAAAAGAAAGGGCTTTAGCATTTTCCTTTGTGATTCTGAAAATGTTAATTTTCTTTATTAAAGACCAACTGCAGTTTGGTGCCATAGCACCATTCAAACAAATGAAGTGTGCCTTGGGGATTTATTTTTGTTTTTAACATTACTCACTGTATTAATATTCAGAAGAAAATAATTCCTTCCAATGACTTAATATGGAGTGCTAGGCCTTACTAGAAATCATTCCACATGTAGAATAATGTTGAGAATGTTATAAAGGTGAGACGTACATTACATAGAGAAGGAAGGAGAATAAATAGGACTAGTTCACCCCTATTTGAAGTGGGAGCATGTGAGATATGGGTGGGGAAGAGGGACATAAGAAAAAAGTTGAAGGGGCTGGAAATCATAAGTGAAGGAAAACATATAAACGTTAGGACCCCGAAACACGCACGCTCTAGAGAACCTTACCCACACTAGCAAAGAAACTATAAAATTATCATTGAAATAGGGTTTAGCTCACAAAGGTGTCTTAACAGTTCCTTCAAAAATCTTCTGAAATTATCATTCCAACGTAAGTGCAAGGTGTTTGCTAACATGTCAATAATAATTACGCAGCGTTTATGGTTAAGGAGACAATTGCGGTAGAGTAGGGAGAAGGCTAAACGTAGGGCCCAGTTAATGATAGGACGACTGCAAAAGTACGACTACACTTTCAACCATTATGTAAACATTTGCTATAATTATTTTTATGGATCTGAAACCAACTATTTACAAATCAAAACCAACGTTGTGTGAATACGTTTTAATAAGTATTTGATCAGAATTATTTAAATTTAAAGACAGTATATACACACACACACATATATACACGTGTGTGTGTGTGTGTATTAGGCTAAAGGGGACATGTGCATGCCAGAGAGAGAAAGGGACAGAGAGGAGGAGAGAACAAACAGCACCCTGTCCCCCCAAGGGGAATGGTCACACAGCAATCCTTTCTCCTCCATCTCTCCCTCCTTTTGTGATTTTGGGTACACACATACATGCCCAGTGCGTGGGAATGTGGACTGGCAAACGGCTGGGTCTGGGACTCGGACTATGTGGTCAGCCATGCAGGGTGTGGTCAGCCACCTGGAATCCGGCTGCCATGTGGGATCTGCGGCCCCCAGCCCACAGAGCTGGCCTGACGGTGTAACTTTAAAGCAAGGTTTTTCAGCCTCAGCACAACTGACACCTTAGGCCACTAGTTCTTTGCTGGGGGTGGGGGGGGGAGCTCCTATATTCATTGCAGATATCTAGCAGCATCTCTGACCTTTGCCTGCAAGAGATCAGTATCTATTCGCCCCCTGCCAAGTAGCACAAAGGTCTCCGAACTTTGCCAGACACTGCACACTGCTCTTGGCTGACAACCACTGCTTTAAATTATAGAAAAACCTAGAAATTAAATACATGTCTCTTCCACAAACACAGGGTGGCAGATTGCCAGGAGGAACTAGAGCTGGGATGTCCAGTACAGTAGCCACTACCCACGTGTGGCTACGAAGCACTTAGAAACGGAGTACTCCTTGGGCCAGGAGGTAGTGGGGTGGTTAAGGCACTGGATTCCCACAAGGCTGACCACAGTTTGATTCCTAGACCCCGTGACTTGAAAACTGCAACAGATAGATAGATAGAAATGTTTTTAAAAATTGACTACTCCACACTGGAGTGTGCTATTACGCATAAAAAAACGCACTGATTTCAAACGGCATGAAAAAAATGTAAGACATTTCAATAATTTTTATATTGAGCACATATTTCAAATGTAATGGATTAAAATTAAACATTTTTCATTAAAATTACCTTCACCTGTGTCTATTTGCTTTTTCAAATATGGCTACCAGAAAAGAACTATTTAATGACAGTATAACTTTTTTTTAATGTGGCTTACGTTTTATTTCTATTAGATTGTGCTGAAGATGTGGAAAAAACTATTCCCTCCTTCACGCTCCATGTTCCTGGCAGCCTTTGATGGGAGGCGAGGGGCCTCCATGGAGCTCCGTCTTTGATTTTCTGTTTACATTCTCTACATCTGTCTTGGACATTCTCTGGTCTCAGTACCACAGAAGTCACGACCACAGACAACGCATCTCCGAACCCTATCTCCAGTCCTGAGTTCTAGGGAAACCTAGACCCACGTATCCAACTACCAACCTACCTACCCCACTTGGGTATCCCAGAGGAACCCCTCAATTAATGCTCAATCCCTCAAAAACGCTCCTCCTCAGGGAGTCCCCATTGTGGTCATTGGCACTACGGATGTGGATGTAGATGCCCAGGCTGGAAACCTGCGAGTCATCCCTGAGTTTCCTCTTTCCTTCAGTTTTCTCTTTCCTCCAGCCCTCTTGCAATCTCTCCTAAACTCCTGCTTCATCTACTTCCTAAATATTTCTGGATTCCTTTTTTCCTACCCCTCCGTCGAGGTTAAGTCACCGTTACTGCTCCCTGCAATGATGTGCCTTTATACCCTTATTCCACCTCGCCCGTCCCTCTCCAAACACTGAGCGCACAGATAACCATTTCTGTTCACCGTGACCGTCTCCTATTAGAACATCATAGAACGTAAACAACCCGCTGCAGCTTCCTGCTCCCTGTGGCATGTGTGGGTCGTTGATTGATGAATGAATGAAGAGGGTTACTCACCACTAACTCACAGGCTGCAACTCCCTTAGGAGCGGACTACGAAAACAATGGTCCCATTAGCAAATGAGGCCTAGAAACATACCAGTCCTTACATTTAAATGTCAGTGTTTACATACTGACACAAGTGCCGGGATTCTAGAAAAGGAGAGAAAGTGCTTGGGAACCATGTGCCGTGTCCTCTCATCCTCTCCTGGCTGAATTCCAACGTGCCTCCTATCACCCTGCAGCAACTTGGTACCTCACGTTCTCCACCTCCACTGTGCCAGTCCAGAGCATCTACGATTTTATGACAACCCAGGGAAAAGCGGCTAAAATTTATGCAAAGGTAAAAACAATTACGATGAACTGAACTATTTATTGGGCCTTTGGGAGTGTCATATTTCTTTTTTCTAGGCAAAAATGCATCATGACTTTCCAGACAACCCAATACTTCTGAAAGTTAAGTCATTCTGTAAGAACACGTGGTCCAGACAAGTAATAAGACTTTTTCCCCGCTTCTCCAGTCTCCTCTCATTAGGAGGTTCCAGTTCACCTCCACAAAGCCAGCTTTCATTCCCTGGACCATCACTAGTTTGAAAGAAGACTAGGATGGACTGGGGTAGTGTTTACACTAACTAGTAAGTTATGGCTGTTGATATGCAAGCTTTAAAAAAGTCAAGACTAGGGACCAGAAGATAACATAATGGCTATGCCACTGGACTCCCATGTAGTCGACCATGGTTCGAATCCCGGACCTGATGGCTTAAACTCATGCCGGGTGCTTGTGCATGTGTGCCCAAGATCCTGAGAGGGGAATGGAGGAGAAGGGATTGAGGAATGGCCATCTCCCCTGGGGGGTGATTTCTTGTTTTCTATCTCTGTCTCTCTCTGTCTTTCTGGCAAGCACAC